AATAAGTCAGCCTTGGGGAAACCAGTAGTGGTTTTAATTAAGTTATTGTTAATTATCTATTGGTTTAATGTAAGTGGCTATTGTTCGGGATGAACAATACTAAGGAAGGGGCAGTGTTACGATAGTGGAAGTCACGTGACGCTGCTGCTAAGTTTCTCGATTGATCAGGGAAGTCCGAGTGTGATCAAGACGCCCTTCTTAATTAGTATATAAGCCTGGCAGAGAAAGCCAGCAGTTAGTTAATGAACAGAGAGCAGTAGTTACTTTGAGTTCCGTGTAATTTATGATTTTTTTAGTTTTGAGCTAGTGAGCCGTAAAGTGTGTGTTTTGCACTCGTCGAGAGCAAAGTTATCGAGATTGTGAATCTCTTTGATTTATAGCTTGTATCATTTTGTTAAGTTTTGTTAGTTGTTAAGTTTAAAGTGACGAGAAACATACTGATTGTGGAACTTCTGTGTACTAAAAGTTTGTATCGAGGAAGAATAAACTGGTCTAATCAAGAAAGGGCTTGTATCACAGAAGATCCTCAGAAAGAATTTCTACCGAGAACAAACAAACAAGCAGATACGTAACAAGTGTATAAAAGTGTATAGGCCACTACTGTGTTTGTTCTATCCCAGTCAGCTTGAAGAGCTCTGGATTGAGCAAAACACGACATTGGTAATAGACATAGCAAATATGGTGTGGTTGAAATACTATTAATATAACACTTTTCTGATTCTTGAAACTTCCTAAGGGACTTGATAAAGAATGTAGTGTTTAAAAATATAGTAGGCTTAAGGCGAATGTCTTATGGCAAGAATAATTATAATCATGCTTCACCAGCTTGTTGAAGGTGTTTGCACCATAACAACTAATGTTGTAACAAATGGCTTATATTGTGTTCCGACCATAACTGCTATGTTTGTTGTATTCCAGCCAGCCAGATGAGCTATGGATTGAATGAAATGCATCGTGGGCAATGTATATAGTAAATATAGTGTGGTTGGAATACTATTATTATATACTCTTGTAATTGTTGAAACCTCTAAGGGACTAGTTAAAGAATGTAGTGTTTAAAAATATAGTAGGCTTAAGGCCAACGCCTTATGACAAGTATACTTATAATCATGCTTTGCCAGCTTGTAAAAGGAGTTCGTACCATAATAATTGTTGTTTTAAAAATATAATTTTTCTGATAGTATTAAAAACAGAATTGTTCTAGTGGTATCAGGCTATTAGAGATAAACTATAATATAATATATCATATTTTTTTTATAATTTAAATGAAAATGTAAACTAAAAAAAAAATCGTTGGCTGTTTCGCATTTAGGATAATATCTTGCCTTCAAGTTTCAAATTAAATGTACATTGCATTGTGCTTGCCTCCCCAGTAACTCAGCGGTAAATCTGTGAACTTATAATGCTAAAAACTGGGTTTCGATACCTGTTGTGGGCACAGCACAGATAGCCCATTGTGTAGCTTTGTGCTTAATAACAAACAAAAGCATTTAGATTTAAACAACACTAAAAAATAAAAAATGTTCTGATGAATTTTAATAAAATACTGCAAAATAATTGTTTTAAAATGTATTAGAAATGTGTATTTCTTCTGAAACAGTTATATGTAGCATCCATTACTGTTCAATAGTTAGGTAACTCTAATTCCATTTTGTCACTCTTTGTGATAAACGAACAAGTCTGTGTGATTCGGGATGCGAGTTGTTATTTTTTAGCTGGAGTTGCTCAGGCCAGATGTTACCTTTGATATTGTCGATGATATAGTATGATTACTTTTGACCCAACTGCTCGATAAACTGATTTAGTAAATGCTAGTCTAAATTATGCCATTCTGTGTTTTAAATTATATTTTAAATCTGTAAGAATTTTGCTTAGATTAATTGTAGTTTTCCATCACCATGTAGTATTATTTAATTTTAAGATTACTAATCCGGGTAACTGTTCTTTTTGTTGTTTTTGTCAACACCTCGTTTAGGACAAAGTTAATATTGAAAAAGTAAATAGTGCTAGTCCTTTTTTTTTTTTTTAAAACAACCAAACTTGGAAATTATCATAGTTTTCTTACAGAAAAAATATCATTGTTTGAAGAAGTTCTGAATAAATTGCGCTAACAAACATCTGATTATATCAAAGATTTAAGGTTGAAGTTGGTAAATTATGCTTTCATGCATGGAATTTGATTTTGCTGTATTTTAAAAAGTGTGATTTGAAATTGTGGAAATATTGAACTAATATTTTGCTTAAATAATGTAAAGATTGGTGTTCACGATCTCTTGTAACAATGCAATAGTGAATGTCTAGGTTTGACAATTCTTTCGATTGCCATAAAATTTTCCAGGCCTAAAGGCAGAGGAACTAGCAGGGCCGTCTGCTGTTATATAATTCAGATAACAATTGTTCAAAGACACATGACGTCACAATATCGGTGTATGCGCTTGCTGGTTAGGAAAAAAAGTGCCAGCCCATTTGTATCTTTTCTGTTAGGCTATCACACACTTCTCAACATGATCGTATATTGTCAAATTATATTCTCTTAAACCGGTCATGGCACATAACTCAGAATATTTTATTGTATTTGAAACTTTAAATGTGGGGCCCAGAGCAACTGCCTAGCTTGCTTTGCCCTAAGGTTGGGTGCCAGTGGTGTTCTATGGCTCTATTTATAGATCATTGATGAGCAGTTCAATTTCCACTGCAGGAAGGTTTTTTGCATTACTCTAAAGTGAATAATTCTCCCCCCTCTTCATTAAGGTCAATGATTTCCCCTCTCTTCATTGAGGTCAATGTTTCCCACCACCTCTTAATTGAGGTCAATAATTTTCCCCCTCTTAATTGAGGCTAATTTTTTCTTCCTTCTCTTTATTGAGATTAATGTCTTCTCCAGTCTCTTTAGTTAATGTTTTCTCCATTAAGGTACTTCTCAAAATCCATCCGTCATTCTGTGAGCCTGTTTGAGCAAGTCAGAGGTACATAAATCCATGAGATATAGATGCTTCTGAATGATGAGGTATGAATTCTTGTTGTATCATTTGAATGTTAGGCAGAGTAGATATACCAGGTTTGGGGATATTAATGGACTGTGACTGCCTGTTGAAAGAAAAGGAAATGACGTTTTAGCATCTATACTTAAACCAACTATGAATTCTTGTCTATACATCCATCTTGTGAAGGAATTGGCATGTTGATTTGGATATATGGCTGCTGTTTTTGTGATAGTGGTAACCATTTTTTAACAAAGATGGTTTTTTATTATATTACACAGGTGTGAGCATGTTGGCTTTGTCATTTTGTAGACTGTTCAGTGTTTAATTTGCCATCAGCTGTAACTCACAATCATATAAATCATGTGACATGATGTGTACTATTTTTAAATGTTGTATCACTGATCTTTCATAGATTCTGTGTTAACATTTGCTGCATTCATACTTCCATTTGTCACATACCTGATATTGTTCACATAGCTTTTGACAACTTGTTTCCCATTTGGGTAGGAGAAATTTTTGAACAGGGCTCTAGTGTTGATTTTGTATACTTAATCCATGTGTGGGAGGAGCTTTTTAGCATAGCTGTAGTGTTGATTTTGTGTAGCTAATCCATTTGGATAGGAGAAGTTTTTGAACAGGGCTTTAGTGTTGATTTTGTATACTTAATCCATGTGTGGGAGGAGCTTTTTAGCATGGCTGTAGTGTTGATTTTGTGTAGCTAATTCATTTGGATAGGAGAAGTTTTTGAACAGGGCTTTAGTTGGTTTTGTATAGTTAATGCATGAGTAAGAGAAGTTTTTGAACAGGGCTTTAGTGTTAGTTTGGTATAGCTAATCCATATTTGGGAGAAACTTTTGAACACAGCTTTTGTTGGTTTTTGATAGCATCTGAATTACCTTGTTTACAATTCCATTGGAGGCTCCTGTTTAGCTATAACTCATTGTTGTATTTTGTATCCAATGGCAACCTGTTTAACTTTTGTTAGCTAACTGCAACTGGTTATTTCTTCCCTTCCTTCACTATTGTACTATCTCCTTATTTTGAGACTCTGATATTTTCTTGTTTTGCATGCTTTTTTAGTTTCAGAACAAGAAAACTTTAGAAAGCCCTATCATTAATCTCCAAGAAGGCTTCACTTTTAGGTACAATATGCACCTGCACATCATCACACATCAATTGAATTGCTCAGGCTTTTAATCTGGGAAGACGTAGGCCAGGGGGTAAGATGGTTGCGAACAACTGTTTGTACTTTATAGTTCTGTTATGCTGCAAAGCATAATGAGCAATTTGTATTCAATTTTTTACTGATAGGCCTGACAGATATTCAGTGCCCTGTAAAATAAATGTGGTTTTTGGAAACCATGATTTTAATATCTGTCTATTTTATGTAGAACTTATCTGTTTAGTCAATTATCTCCAATAGCTCATAAGGACATAAGTATAGACAACTTATACTGTTGTTTTTTTACTGTGAAACCTGGGTTTCTATATATATCTGTCCTTCCTCGAAATGGTGTTTTTTACGATTTGTTGGTAGAAATTCTTCTATGTGTGTTTATTTAATACATTCATATTAGTCAGTCACTAATTAAACCAATATATGAAACATGCTGAATATTGTTCTCTACTTATTTTGTGTTAAAGAATCGTATACATTTTCCTTGCTTGTTTAAAATTAGTGGGACATTTTTTTGTGAACAGGTGCTTGGCTCTGGATCACAGAATGGTATTAGCCCTTCCAAGAATATAGTTACAGAAACACTAGTGAAACAAGAAAGCCATCTCTTATTCCACAGGACTAGTAGCTCTCTTTCTCATCAGTGTGATGTTAAATCTGAAGCTCTGCAGTTTACAGAAGAAGAGTTCAAATCCGTAGCTGAGTGTTAGTGTAAATGTTTATTTCATGTGTTTTTCTGTAATCATGAAAGGCAGAGACATCATATACTTTTATTTGGACTTAACAGCCACATTTGATACAAATTTGTCACAAAAACCTTCTACACAGAAATAAAGTTTTCAGTTTTTACAATTTACTACAATTGTGTCAAAAATGTGTAATTTACAATGTTTTAAATAATTTGCAGTACTACAGTGTCTTTGAAAACAAAAAAGTAATAGTTTGCTATACTAGTCTTTACCAAAAGAATACCATACTATGATCAGATTGTTTTAATATTGTTGTAATTTGTTGATGAACAATTACTGAAGCATTGTTAGCTCACCATAATTATAAGAGTACTGTGATCAGCTTATTGTAATTTATTGACTGCCAGTTACTGATAGTTATTCACGAACATTAGAATGCCATCTTATACTATTCATTGTTCATGTGGTTCTCCCTTATATTGATAAAGCATTAAACATGAGAAATTTGTTGTTAGCTGAACTTTTAAAAAAGCTTAGTGTTTGTATCCAAATGTAAGATTAGAAACTCAGAAATGAAGATTCACACATAGAATTAAAGTATTTTGTATAATAATTCTCCAAAATTTAGCTAGTTTTAAAGTACTGCCAGATTTTGCTTTGAAATTTCCATGTTAATAAGGCTCTCCAAACAATTTTTTGCTCACCACTAGCCTTTAGGCTCCAACCTAAACTCACATATTTCCATGCGTTATTGCTGTACTGTAACATGCAAGTGAGCATGCAACAACCCTCCACCATTAGGAGTGTGACACACCCTCCGAACATAGCTGACTCTCTTTATACTGATTGTTTAATCATCACTTCTCGATTTGGCACTTGCATGTTTAGATGTATGTTTTTGCCCATGCCATTGATTTAAAACTTCAATTTCTGACAACATTTTTTTGTTGTCTTTGCCTAGTTTGTGGAAGGATGATTTTGATTGCTTTTTCTTCCTATTCACATTATGAACTCACAGGTTCATATTACTACTATTTCGTCTAGCATTGATCCACAAGATCTTATTCATGCTAGACAGACTACAACTGGTGGAATCCTACCTGTGGCCTTATCTGTCACCTGTCCTGGGGACAGATATTCCCTTACCTGTGAATTTGATCAGTGAGGACGATGATTTTGCCAACCTTTTTCTTCCACCTGCTTCTGCTGCATCTTCTCATTCCACTGTTATTGATCTACCTCGACCTTCCCCGTCCTTCTTAGATAACGTTACTCAGGTTTGTTACCTTTTGTCCCTTTCTCCTGTGTCTTATGATTCTTTCCCTTCCCTACTGCATTCTGGTCCTGTTTTTGATTATTTTGTTTTCCTTCCTTCTCCTAATATTCAGTTCCATACCAATTAATTTCTCTCTCATCTTTGTGATGGAGCTAGTATGCCTCATCCTCCTCACTTGGCAGACACACATATCTTGGCTTATCATTGGTCTGAGTTTCCCTTTCTTGACTCTCAGAGTTTGGAGTCAGTTATTCAGGCATGAAGGTCAGATCCTTTATCTTTCTTCTCTTTGCCTTTCCCAAGGCCAAATATCCGGTCTTCATCACACACTTACTACTCTATTATGATATCTTTCTTCTATCCATCTTTCTGAGACTATCCACTTTGCTCCTGAAGGATTTTAAGTAGATACTCATTCTTTTGTCTTTTCTACATTTGCACATTTGTCTTTTCTCCTTTATCTCTCCATACATGGTTGCTTTGTTGGGACTTATTAGGCATGAATGCCAAACTTTCTCAGGTGCATTTGCTGGCCTCTTATCTTTGAGGACTTTGTCTGGCTCCTTTCCTTTCCCAGTCTGTTTTTTATGGAGTCCCAGATTCTCTGGAATCTTGTGTGGAGGTTGTGTGCTAGCACTGTTCCATTTCTTTCCTAGTTTGCCATCTATTACAAGCCTCTCCTGCACCTGTTACTGTATCCTGATCTCCAACCCTCTCCTCTCACTCTTCCCCCTTCCCATGTTTCTCACACTATCGACTTCAGCATTGTCAATATCAATGGTGACAACCCTTTAGGTTTGTGCATGGTTTGGCACCTGTTTCCAGCCCATTGTTGGGTCCTTCAGGTGTTGTAAGAGGACCTGACTCATCGTTTTCCTCTCCTCCTCCTTTGTCTCCCATTTCTATCTCCCTCGTCCTTGAGATCTGGTTTGTTGCCAGTTTCTGTATGAAGCAGTGTTGGATCTCTTAGCAAAAGACATTATCGAATGGGTTTTTTTCCTTCTCCAGGTTTCTATCCCCATCTGTTCATTGTCCCCCAAAAAACAGGGATTGGCATCCAGTTATAAATCTTTCAAGCCTCAATCACTTCATTGACTTCCCTCGTTTTACCATGGAGTCTTTTCTCACCCTCAGATGGTCCTTTACTCCATCTCACTCTCATTCAGTATCTCATTTATTTGGATGTGTTTTTCAATTCACATTTCAGTAGAGCTCATCCTTTCCCCCTTCATTTGAGAGACATAGGGCACTTAATTTCCAGTGCTATATCCTCACCTACTCTCATGGTATGAGAGCTTCTGTTTCTTTTGGGGTCTTGGGCTTTTATGAAATCCCTTATCTCTTTGGGTCATGCTCATATGCGTCATCTTCAATGGACTTTGTAAGATCAGCAGAACCTCACTTGGGATCCCTTGCCTTTCATCATTCACCTTCCTCCTTCCTTGCACGTTTGACAAAGGATATAACACAAAGTGTTCCTCTTCCCCCATCTCATCTGGATCTCCATCTGTTTACAAATGCATCCTTGAGAAAGTGTGGGGCATATTTGGACTCTCAAAAGATTTTGGATCAGTAGTCCCACAATGAATCATCTCTTCATATCAATCTCTTGGAACTTTTGGACATACATCAAGCTTTGTATCATTTTTTTACTATGGTTCATGGATGTCTAGTAATGACCCATACGAACAATTCTACTGTTGTCTCGTATATCAATTGTCAGGGGGGCACCCGGTATCACTCTCTCTGCTTCCACGCTGTCATCCTCCATTTCTGGGCCCATTCTTTACAAATATGTCTTATTGCTTGTCATATTCTGTGTGCTCTGAATCTTGTTGCGGATTATCTTTCACAACCTGACTAGATTCTACCTAGAGAATGGTCCCTCAATCCTCTGGTGTTCTGGTAGCTAGACACTCCTCTAATGGATGCTTTTGCCACTCATCTCAACATCAAAATTCCTCTTTTCTGGTCCCCTGTTCCACATCCCATAGCTCTGGCTATGGATACATTCAGTCAGGACAGGTCCAATCTTTTTCCTTATGCCTATCCTCCTACTCTTCATCTTCCTCATGTGTTTTCCCTCCTCCTACTGCAGACCAGACAAAAAATACCCAATGTTGGGACTTGACCCACCAATATTTTTTTCCCCCATCCTACCGTTGCCCAGATGTCAAGTTCCAGGTAGCCTGATGTTGGGTGTATGCAGAGTCAGCACACATGAGCACTATCTAGGTCAGCAGAACAGAGGTTAATTTTTGCTTCTACTACCTGGTATAAAGGTGAAAATCATTGGGACCCCCTTCCTACTGTGGGCTGGATGAAAAATACCATATGCTACATGGTCTTGGAGTTGAGTTCACCTGTCACTTATGGTCTTAGATGCACCCTAGCCATATGCACCATATGGTTTGTCCATATTCCATACTGTAGAATTTGGATCATGATTGTTTCCATCCAAGTTAGGGACACATATCTTCCCCATTGGCAAAGAGTATACTCTGGAATAACAGGTGAGGTCTCCCACAGGTGTGCCCCTCTACTTTTTTATGCATTACACTTCTGCACCAGTCCCTCCACCATGTCATTGTGGGATTCTAGCTAGTATGAGAGAAGAAGTAAGGTATTGTATCAGAAGTTAACATTTTCCAACATTGAAAATGTATTGCTGATAAATACTTACCTCCTCTCACACTTCCCACCTGTCCTTTTCACTTGTAGTTCATCTTTTCTTGCCTAATCTCAAAGTGATGATTGAACAATCAGTATAGAGGAAATCAGCTGTGCTAGGAGGTGTGTTGCACTCCAGTTGGAGGAGGGTTGTTGCTTGCTCAGTTGCATGGCACAGCTCAGCAGTAGTATGTGAAAACATGTGAGATTGGGTAGGAGTCTTATCAGAAATACATTTTCAGTGTTGGAAAATGTTAACTTTATTCTGAACAGAATGTGATTGTTGTAAGAATTTCTTCATTTAATATTTTCTCAGTTACTTCTATATAGTAAATTAGTATTAATGGATAGAAGATATTAATCTAGGTTTGTGTGGCATTTATTTCAGTTTTCAAAGACCCTGCAACTTTTGAGTTCCTTCAAAAAGCAGGAAAAAGCAAAGTATGTGTTTATACAAGTATTCTTTCTGTTCATGTGTGGTAGCCACTTTGTTTCATTAGATTTAACAGTATAGGCTGTATAGCTTAAAAGTACTAAGATATAAATATCTGTTAATATATTTATTTCATCAGTCAAATAATTGATGGACATCTAGATAAATTTAAATGTAGATATTTCTATTTGAATTTCATAATAAAATATTACAGACATTGACTTTTTAAAACTTTTTCACCAATTTGTTGTTGGTATCTGTTAAAAGTGAACTATTGGATTAAGAATGAGGTACTCTTACTTTTAGGCTTTGCAAGAATCAGCTCTAGGAAGACTTTCTCTTTATGTCAAGTTTGACCCTTTATTAAGTGGTGATGTTTCTGGTTAGTACTTTTCACACTGTGGAAATGTAAAGAAATTATTTTTCCCTGTATAGTAATTTTTTATATTTTACTCTCAAGATGGGGACAGTGTGTTTTGCATTTTTGAATTATTATTTCAGTTCATTCATACTTTAAATTACAAGTAATGAAAATTAGCTGTCAGTATGTAACTTAATGCTTGTAAAGCTATATAAAAAATTTACAAAGAGAAATTTAAACCAGCTTTCCAGTGTCAGATAACAATACGAAGAATTAAATTGTGTCAGAATGCTACAAGTTCTTCTAATACCTATAGAATGATAGGTTTCTTTTTTGTGAGTGTAAAACACTTAAATGTACCATTTAGATTTTCGATATCTCACTACTATAAAGGCTTGGTTTGGTTTAATATTTCATTGGTGGTAGTGTCCAGGGTCACTGATGAGGAGTGGAATTCTCCAAAACTAGTCTGGCTCACATACACCCCACCCCCCCACAATGAAAGGATAGACCATTCCAAGCTTTTACTTGTTGTTAAACAAATTTTTAAACAACTCTATTCAATCAAAACAACTGTTATCTAGATGTAAGAGTTAAAGTATTTATTCTGAAGTTGTTTATCTACTAACTTTGAGTACATTTGATATGAATTCTCTTGTTTTCTCAAGTCCAAAAGCAGCAACAAAGCAGCCATCCTGAATCTCTGAAAGAAGGGTAAGGGTTCATTCACTCCTTTTCATGAAACTATCATGTAAAAATGTTAAACTGCTTGAAATGATATCATGATTCACATTAGGTGAAACCAATGTTTTTTGGAACACAAACTTAACTGTCACATGTAAGAGTTCTACAACCAGTTTTGTTGTTGTTTAGAAAATGATTAATGAAAGAAACTAGCACAAACAAGAATGATGATAAAACACAGTAGCATCTCAAATGTCAGATTAAACTTCTTTTTTTTCATAGTATTTCACGTATTAAATATAAGAATGAAATACAATTACTAGTAAGTTATGATAGCTAAATCATTTATTAAATTATAATAGTAATTGTACTTTTTTGATAAACAATTTAATTTTTCTCTTATTGTATTTGTTTAAAAAAATGCACTTCCCCTATTTTTCTATTGTCTTTTGGCCATGTGTACTGCTTGGCTGTTGTTTCAACAGCCTGGACAGGAAGCAAGTTAAAAGTTTCAAATTTTATCAAGCTATTAGTTTCTGTAACATAAAATTAAAAAATATTCACATAAGTGAAACTTCAGGATGCTACTTGTAACATATTCAAATATTTATATTAACAATACATGTTTCTATAATCAAAACATACACATCTGTGGTAAACGTTGCTGTGAATAACTCAATGTCTTCTACTTTTGGTGACTTTATCACATCATATCATCTTTGTTCATTGAGCATGTGCTATGTTTTCCAGAAAGAAAAAAAGCTACACAAGCTCTAGGAATGTTAACTTCTTAAGACAAATTAATTTAGTCTATATTAAATTGTAGTATTGTGCATGTGAGCTGCTGTAAAATGGTATTTAGAGCTCATTATGTTACATTTTTACTGTGCATCATTGAACCTCTCTTTGTTTATTATTTCATTGAAACATTTTCTCATTTGACTATATGAAAGGATAAAAGTTTATACAAAACTAAGACAATCTAAGAAAGCTCCTTAAAGAATCAACTTTCAAGACTTGCTAAAAGAAGCAGAAGAAGACCAACACTTCATAGATATTTGCAATATGTATCTTACTAGTGGTTTGTCAAGCCCTTAGATGTACATTACTGCTAGTAATGGTTAACTTAACTTCTAATAAAGGCTTCAGGTGTATATCACTGCTACTACTGGTTAGCTTGACTTCTAATAAAGGTTTCAGGTCTACATTACTGCTGGTACTGGTTAGCGTGACTTTAATAAAGGCTTCAGCTCTACATTACTGCTAGTACTAATTAGCTTGACTTCTTAATAAAGGCTTCAGATCTACATTACTGCTTGCACTAATTAGCTTGACTTTAATAAAGGCTTCAGGTCTACATTACTGCTAATACTGGTTAGCTTGACTTTAATAAAGGCTTCAGGTCTACATTACTGCTAGTACTGATTAGCTTCACTTCTAATAAAGGCTTCAGGTGTACATACTGCTACTGCTGGTTAGCTTGACTTCTAATAAAGGCTTCAGGTCTACATTACTGCTAGTACTGATTAGATTGATTTCTAATAAAGGCTTCAGGTTTACATTACTGCTAGTACTGGTTATTTTGACTTCTAATAAAGGCTTCAGGTTTACATACTGCTACTACTGATTAGCTTGACTTCTAATAAAGGCTTCAGGTGTACATTACTGCTAGTACTGATTAGATTGACTTCTAATAAAGGCTTCAGGTGTACATTACTGCTAGTACTGATTAGATTGACTTCTAATAAAGGCTTCAGGTCTAGATTACTGCTAGTACTGATTAGCTTGACTTCTAAGAAAGGCTTCAGTTGTACATACTGCTACTGCTGGTTAGCTTGACTTCTAATAAAAGCTGCAGGTGTACATTACTGCTAGTACTGATTAGCTTGACTTCTAATAAAGGCTTCAGGTCTACATTACTGCTAGTACTGATTAGCTTGACTTCTAATAAAGGCTTCAGGTGTACATACTGCTACTACTGGTTAGCTTGACTTCTAATAAAGGTTTCAGGTCTACATTACTGCTGGTACTGGTTAGCGTGACTTTAATAAAGGCTTCAGCTCTACATTACTGCTAGTACTAATTAGATTGACTTCTAATAAAAGCTTCAGGTCTACATTACTGCTAGTACTGATTAGCTTGACTTCTAATAAAGGCTTCAGGTCTACATTACTGCTAGTACTGATTAGCTTGACTTCTAATAAAGGCTTCAGGTCTACATTACTGCTACTACTGATTAGCTTGACTTTAATAAAGGCTTCAGGTCTACATTACTGCTACTACTGGTTAGCTTCACTTCTAATAAAGGCTTCAAGTATACATTGCTGATTAGCTTGACTTCTAATCAAGGCTTTAGGTGTACATACTGCTAGCACTTGTGAGCTTTACTTCTGATCAAGGATTAAGGTGTACATTACTGCTAATACTGGTGAAAATTACTTTTAATCAAGTCTTAAGGTGGTCATGAGCATTCTCTTATTTTTCATATTATTTTTTTGTGCTGTTGCTGCAGAAACATGAGATGGACTGTTCAAAATACACAGATTTGTCTTTAAGAAGACAAATATTTCACTTTGAATATAATTATACTTAAGGTACTTAAAAATGTATAGTAGTAATTTGTTGACTCCTACTTATTGTTGTGCAGTGTATACAATCTGAAAATGTGTTCTGTCTGCATTCCTGCACTTGTGCATATGTAAACCAAGTTTGAAACTATCTGTTAACAATAGATGAAAACTGGTTAATGGTGATAGAACTCTGTTAAAATTTTGGTTTTGTTTAAGAACAGATTTGAAATGTACATTAAAAGGATTAAAATGCTATATTAGCTTAACCTTTGAAGTCATTTTCTTGAAGTGATGTTTAGATTAAAATTGAGTATATTTGATTGAATGATAATAATCAGATATAAAATTACTGACAGCTAAAATAACACTATTCACTACAACATTATATTTGGTGGTCTTAGTTAGATAATTTTAATGTAAAGCTGATTTCCATAAATAGAATTATAGTACGCTTTATTATGCATCTCAACCAGTTTCAAACACCAGCTCAACTCGATTGACTTATACATGTGTGTGAATTTCTAAAAAATATAAAGCCTGGTATAACCTGGTGGCTAGACTCTTTTTTTTTGTCACAAATTAGAATCCCATCACCAAACATACTCACCCATTCAGCCATGGAGGTGTTATAATGTTGATAAAAAGTAGCCCAAGAGTTGGCTGTGGGTGGTGTTAACTAGGTGCTGTCCCTCCCCTTTGTCTTCTAAATTAGGTACAGCTAGTGCAAATAGCCATAGAATAGCTTTGTCTGAAATTCAACACATAAACAAACAATTCTAAACATATAACGTGCTGGACACAAGTTGTGTCATAGCTGAATACTAAATGATTTTATCCACATATTAGTAAGGAGAGAGAAATAGGAAAAGTAGTTTTGTTTCAGGTGGACTTGGAACAATGGTTCTCACTTCAGTAAATTTTGGAAAATTCCTGTTAGTCATGAACAAAAGACACTTACTTTAAAGTATTTCCATTCAGTTATGGCATGGGTATGATTATACTATATTGTTAAAGATGTTTTTATATTTAACACTGTGTTACAGGCTAGGAGAAAAATCTCTACTGATTACCACAAATGACAGTAATACAGACCAAGGCTCAATCGTGACAGAATGTGATGGCAAACAGGGGTTGTCCTATGACCTCAACAAGCTCATAGACTTCAGTTCCTCTCCCAAGATAAAGGTAAGCTGATCAGATAAGTAGTTCATTTTGCATTATGCGTAAAAAGATTGGGAGGTCAAAAACAGATAAAGCATCAGGATCAAACAATGTTTTTCCTAGGGTTTTAAGGCAGTTAGAAATCAAACATATGAACCTCTCTTTTTCATTTTGGGTCAGTCAATAAATAGTTTGTGTGTTTGAAGTTAAGCACAAAGCTACGCAATGGGTTATCTGTGCTCTGTCCACCATGGATGTCAAAACCCAGGAAGGATATTTTCTGTGATATGTAGTGATTAGGTCTTATATCACAGAAAATATCCTGTTACTTCACCTACATGCTATACAACTTTTCACCCACAAAAAAAGACTGACTAACTTACTAACTGACTACTTAAAAAATATAACACTATAAATGTTTCAACCCAACCATCACAGATAGGACTTGTATCAAACTTCAAAGCAGTAAAAAATGTTATGTTAACTCTAACCTTTCACCTATCAACAGGATAAAACATAAATTTATTTCATTTCCTCTTATACCAGAAATTGCTAATGAAATTACTAGCCTATTTAATAACTTAAACACTGATGTATAAACTGTATTCAAACCTTCCCATAAAATCAACACCTTACTACCTAACCCATTAGAATTCCTACTAAAGGAATAAAAAACAAGACATATATAGTATCCCATGTGAATGTGGAAAGAAATGCACTGAACAAACTTCACGTTCCTTAGAAATGAGATGCAGAGAACACAAAGGTCACATGCTTAGAGGTGGATTCCAGATATCTGCTTTAACATATCATCAGTATGAAACAGATCACAAAATACTCTGGGATGAAATTCTTCTCATACACCAAATGAAAACTTAAAAAAAAAGCGACTGGTTAGAAATTATAGAAAGAATCAAAGCAAACGATCTCTCACTAAACTGTGATAATGGCCCTAGCAATATCAGCCATAGTTGTCAATGCCTATTCACCATTCATACACTTGACCAGACTTGACCTTTACTTATATCCTGTCACCTGCTGACATCATTACTGTTACATTTAATCCTTGTGTCTTTTGTCTTTATAACAATATATAAACCTTGTATTGCTTAGTATTGATCGTACCTGAAGAAAACAGACCAATGTTCTGTCGAAACATGTAGTATGTTCCACCATCAATAAAATTCTTCCTTATACTTATAAATTGTTGTTTTTCCAACCTGTTATTATATTAGCATATTGTTTTTTTTTACTCAAGTAACTCTGATGTTTATGTTTGCTGTTGAACTAAGCAGCTTAGGTAGCAACTTTGATGTTTATATTTGTTGTTGAACTAATCGGTTTAGGTAGCAACTTGATGTTTATATTTGTTGTTGAACTAATCAGCATAGGCAACAACTTTGATGTTTAAATTTTTTGTTGAACTAATCGGTTTAGGTAGCAACTTTGATGTTTATATTTGTTGTTGAACTAATCAGCATAGGTAACAACTTTGATGTTTATATTTGTTGTTGAACTAATCGGTTTAGGTAGCAACTTTGATGTTTATATTTGTTGTTGAACTAATCGGTTTAGGTAGCAACTTTGATGTTTGAACTAATCAGTTTAGGTAGCAACTTTGATGTTTATATTTGTTGTTGAACTAATCGGTTTAGGTAGCAACTTTGATGTTTTTATTTGTTGTTGAACTAATCGGTTTAGGTAGCAACTTTGATGTTTTTATTTGTTGTTGAACTAACTTTGATGTTTATATTTGTTGTTGAACTAATCAGTTTAGGTAGCAACTTTGATGTTTACATTTGTTGTTGAACTAATCGGTTTAGGTAGCAACTTTGATGTTTATATTTGTTGTTGAACTAATCGGTTTAGGTAGCAACTTTGATGTTTACATTTGTTGAACTAATCAGCATAGGTAACAACTTTGATGTTTATATTTGTTGTTGAACTAATCAGTTTAGGTAGCAACTTTGATGTTTATATTTGTTGTTGAACTAATCGGTTTAGGTAGCAACTTTGATGTTTATATTTGTTGTTGAACTAATCGGTTTAGGTAGCAACTTTGATGTTTATATTTGTCGTTGAACT